CTAACTGGTGATACCTACAAGAGCTTTTCTTGTATAGAAAAAGAAATTGCCAACCTTTTCCTTATTTTTGTTCAAAGCGCTAAGCAGGTCAGCAAAATCATCATGATGTCCGATCCAAGTGCTATCGTACGACGCTAGCTTGTCAGCACCAAGACCTTCAATATGGGAAACTCAAAAAATGACAAAAAGTGAAGCATAGCTTACTATACCAAAGTCATTGTTCAAGATTACACAGTCTTCTAGCTGGAAAACTGCTACATAGAAAAAGCTCCTCATAGAAAAAACACAGCATGGAGTGCTCTGTTTCTAGTAACCCTTGACCTTGATTTACAAATAACTCGAGGTTCTAGGATATGAGGCTTGTCCATATAAAGCTGTTGTCCAGTAACTCTAGGTCGGTGCTGGAGATTCTAGCTACGCTGAAGTACACTCCTTATCCCTGAGCCAGAGTAGGCGTGGCATTTGAACATGGCACGGAACTGGTTACTCGTGGAATATTCCAGTCTGGGACAACTGTCATCTTGTTCTGTTGGACAGAGACACGACAACAATTGTGTCAAGATGAAAATATCTCACCAGAAGCATAGACACCTTCAAGTTAAGTTGTATCATGCGGCCAGCGCACGGCGGGGTAATGATTCATCCACGGATCGTGTGCCGCATACGCGACGCACTCCGCACCGCCGCAACTCGGAGCTCCTGACCGACACCCGAGACAGCTATCTGCTGCTCTTACCTGCACAGTCAACCTATTCGCAGTCTCACAATTGAGTAATTCTGATTTTTAAAACAACTTAGCGAAACTGCACAGTTCACCCACCCCTTACCACCAGTGTTTCGGATTCACGGAGGTTGTAGTCATCAGCTTCGATACTGCTCAAACTACTACCACCCCTTGGTGCCACACAGCACAGCGCAAGCTTTGCTAGCTCACCTTTTCCAGTATAGTTGGCCTTCAGTTTCACAGTCGCGGAATTACCCTGGCGATTCCTGCCCAGGCCATCACCGTCGGACCATCCCATCCGTTCCATCAGCTTTCGTGAGATCTTCTGATCATCGTTTTTCCATTGGACGTTCTGAGGATCCACACTTAGTCGCTGCCTACGACGCGGCTCCGCCAAAAGCGACATGCCGCCTTACCCTAAATGGTATAATTAGCACAACTACTGCATTTATTCCATTGACTACGGTGTGTGACGTCACATCCACATTGCAGATGCATTCAAACACCAAAGTGTTTTTCAGCTGATCAGTTCGACATGTTCGCGTTAAAACAATTAGGTCCTGCTGCGGATGCCGCACGCGTGACACCTTTTGCAACGTCTCTTTCGCCAGCCTCACCGCAAGGTTTATGTAACATCCTACACACCTGACAGTTAATTTAAAAATCAACAAGAAAACAACAAATATTGGTGGGATACTACCACGCTCAGAAAGAATCGAACTGAAAAAAAACAATTTATCGAGCATAAATACTCCTTTACAACAGCACAAAGTACCAGTTTAACTGATGGAATTCCACTAAAAAACGAGGAGCCTAAGGAATGAGCTGAGATAACTCCGTCCATAGAAACGATTGAAGGCAGTGAGCACGATCGCTGAGGGCGAGAGGTTTCAGCTTTACTGGTGGAGTGGCTACGAGAGGGCGTTTGGCTACTCACCCTTAGCCCTTACACCAATGACGTTAGCGACAACCGTCCGCCCCAGGCTGCGCATCCATTGTCTATAAGAAGACAGATGGCTACAAAACACGCCTGACCTTCATCGTAAGGACACCAGTAATCAGGAGTACTTGACTAGAGTAAACTAAAGCACGTTAACAATTTAAATTATCTCGTTAACAAGTTCAACGACCCATATTTCAGACATCCACAACATTTTCATCGGAGCTCCCTGAAATCGCTGAGTTTTACGACGGTAAGTTGTTCTTAGAAGTGAGCACCGCAAAACTTACCCCATAGAGGGTACCGGCTGAAACAAATAGCTTCCCATGCCCAATATCATAGAGGCCGTACAATACGGCCACAGTAACCAGCATTACTGGCGCAACCACCATTAGTACTGCCCAGCATGGGTATGACCTAGAAAGAAACAGAATAAGCACAGTTTGGCATGGAAGGGGCTTTTTCGCTTTCGCCAAATTTTTTTGTTAGCTCATGTTAAAGGCAAAGCCCGCAATCATTCGCCATCACAGATAGTGGATCAGGAGTTTGCATACAGATGATCAAGTTGCGAGTGATTCGATAGTGAAGAAAAAAAGCAGAAGAAAAAAATGTGCCGACTGCTATGAATATAACCCCATTCCGATGAACTGCATCTTCTATATTGCGCCTTCATCCGCACAGCTGATTTTCCCAATAAGAACTCTAAACTCTACGACCGTTCAAGTGACAATTTTCATGCTTTTTCGTCCTGCGGCTTCGTTTTTCACTGAAAGGTGGGCCTTGAGGGCGGAGTCTGGAGGCGGAGTCACTGGAAAAAGAGGCGTCACTGAACTTTATTAGCAACCCTTCCCTTGCGATTTTTCGATGCGAAACCGGTATAAGCTTGTTCGTCACGTACCACACTACCCTCTCCCGACACCATATTTTCGACTTCTATACGTGATCGCGGACCGCGCCTTTAAACAACACGTCTTATTTTGGTTAGGACCTGTGAGCTTCTGGGAAGCTGCGAAACGGCACGCGAGAGCTGCTTTGCTTCTCACAAGATGGCCCGAACAAGCATAGCTGACTAATATTCGGTGTACACACCAAGCCAAACTGCCCCTTCTCATGTTCCTATCATTCTGAATGCAGTTTGGAAACATGGCTTATCATAAAGTAAGACTGCTGCCAAGCAAATTACCCGCTATCCCATGTTCGAAAAGCGTACCTGACAGGACAACATCAATTTTATTCAATTCGCTAGCAGGAAACTTTGACAGGCTGCTTGGATTGTGAGCCAGTAAGAGACGCGATGAGCCTTCACTGCAATTACGCGATGCTTCGGTGAGATTCATGCGATGACCGAGTATTCTGAAATAAATAGTGAACTCGAATCCAACTAGACAGTTTGGGAAACCAGCAGTTCTCTACACTGCATATCGGAAGGCAAGAAGAGGCGTGACTGCGAGAACGGCGAGCATTTATATGAAGAAGCAGAGGCTCCAACTTAGGAGAGTGGAGCCTGACTGGAACACGCACGTTATCAAAACGCCTCTTTCAGCTAACCGATATGTGCAACAGACTGACAGATGGATAGACAGTATACCAAAGGACTCGAAAGCTACCAACCCGGATTTCTTACTTGAGACATCATTTACACCAATCACGCAGATGTTGCGGAACATTTCGCACCTGAATTGATAGATCGGAATAAATTTCGCTTTAATCGTAATAAAAATTTTGCCGACATATGGCCCGGGTTACTTATATAAAAGAAAATGTTTGGCACAGCAAACTTAAAGGCACGTTCTGCGACTGAAACTCGTTAGCAATCGGGTTCAGAAGCGAAAGTATCGGTGCCATCTGACTTAATTGTAAGGAAGAAAGGACAAAATGTTCATAATAAGGGGCTTCTTCTTGCAGGACATGATTGCTACTCGAGCATGAGCTAGTCTAGAACAATTGCAAGATGCGAGAGAGAGAGAGAGACCAGAAAACGACGGAAAAGTGCCTTTACCAAGAGGACCAGGGCAAGGTAAGCCTGCATGAGCAACAAAGACCTATGCAATAAGCTTGCAGTTCGCTTCCTGCGCGCTTTCAACACTCGCGGCGGTTGCGAAAGCATGTCACCTATTCGAATGAGGAGCTGGATACATAGCTGATTGCAGAGTGTGCTTTTGAGCAGTACGAGTAGTAGTTAAAGGAATCACTGACTGGGAAAAAGGGCTGAATTAAGTTCTGAAGAACCTGTTGTTGAGCACGCGGACTCCATGCATTTCGTATTCGACGAACCACATCATAGCATCACCGTAATAATACTCATGATTTCCCGTGACAAAATACGTACGATGTCGCTTCAAAACACTCCTGCAACACCATTTAAAAATAAGAAACCCACCGTATTCAGAAAAAAAATGACAAAAAGTTCAAGAAACATTCAAGTGGACAAAGCTAGAAATGGGTCCTATCGAAAATAATGCAACACACTCCCAAGGCGGGGGGGTAGGGTGTAAAAAACGTTCTATATACCGACGAATCAAGCAGTACTTCTAGTGGAAGGTAAGAACAGCCAGTTCTGCACCACTGCAGCCCCGTTGCGAGCAAGCGAGCTTTACATTTGCTGCCACATGCAGAAAGAAACCTAGCTGTCGATAGAGGTAAGCTCTGATTTGATGTCAGGAAGCGAGTTTTCAGAAAAAAGCGTGCCCCTTGTCCTAAAGCTCATTAAATGCAGAATAGAAATGGAACATACCATAATGGCTCCATGTGGCTTGCCACAGTTTTCACTGGTCCATCGACCATGTCGCCCACTAATGCCACAGCATCGACATCAAGATCGCGAAGTTTATCCGCGACTTTGGCGATCTATAACAAAATGAAAAGTAATTGATTTACTTAGAAAAGGACGAAGTATGTATAATCGAATCCTAGCAAAAGCGCATTGAATCTCCTCGTGGACAAATGTAAAACTGACAATGTCTTTTTTACATTTGGAAGAGGAAGCCTGCGAAAAAAATTCAGGGATTTCTATGTTGCTTCACTTCTGCGCCGCCGTTCTTACGGCAGCTTCTGTAAGCTCTATATTTTGCTGTGGTATAACATTAATTACCATAGCACTAGTTATAACAGTATTTATTTTGCTACGGTTACTATTAGTCTCCCATACAAACTTGACAAAATGATCTCATACTTATGTCCACTCTGCCTTTCATGCATATCACGGACTCCTGAGTCGCGCTCAAACGAGGAATAAGTTTGATTATTAAAAAATACATTGAAGTTGCGCTTACTTGCGCTCTTCGCACAGTTGCACCTGCATGAACATCCGACAATAATGCGATTTTAACAGATCCGTTGAATCCAGAGAAATTCTGAAATGAACCAAGGTACAGAAAATAAGGAAACTTGGTCGCTACTGGGGAACCATCCATAATCGTCTCGATTTCCCAGACTCTGGAGACCGGGTGACCGATTTCTGTTAACATTGTTTTATCTGAATTCTTTACTTATTATAGATTGCAATTTTGGATGTTTCCAGTTTTAGTTTATTGTTTGCTCTGAGGACTTTCTAACTGACATGGTTTCCCTGATATTTTTAATTACGCACAAATGAAAAAAATAAATAACATTTCCATCAATCGTTTGCCGTAGGGTTCTTTCCCACTCGAAAGGAAGTTTTCGAGTCACACTTCCAAGTGTCAACTCTCCACAGTTAAGGAATTACTGAGCAAATCTTGTACTTTTTCCCGCAATCTCTCCCAGACGTTCTTGCAATGAAGCTACAGTGGAGTTCTCATCCGACGGCGGTGGGGCGGTCCTACGTCCACGTTGCCAAGTGGTCGATAATGGCTGATACGCCCATTATACTGATTTCTGTTGTTTTCAGCTTCTAAAAGCTGAAATTATTCTTCGTCCGGCTTCAATAAGGAAAGGTAAGTATGTTTTACTGAAGACAGATTTCATTTTGCATGGCTTTAGTCAATAACATTGAAGTTAAGCGGAGGAATTCGAGAGAAGTCCAAAAAATGCGAAAATAGGGAGGAGAAACCAATTTTTTTAAGAGAAATTCACGCTAAAATCATGCAAAATGTAATCTGGTCTAAGGAAAACATACTCACTTTCCCGCACTGGAGCCGAAAAATGAATAATTTCAGCTTCTACAAACTGAAATAGAGCAAAAACATCATAGAAATCAGCTGACTGGGAGCGTCAGCAATTATCGATCGGCGAGAGTCCAGACGGAAGAGTGAGCAGATAGTGCGGCGGCGTGTGTTCGAGCGCAGAGTCAATGTCAGAGAGCGCAGAGGCAATGAAGATAATCGCCTCAGCCTCCGCCTTTCCACCGATACGCAACTGTCGGACCGCTCGTCAGTGTGTCGTAGGACCGCCCCGTCGTCGCATGAGAACTCCACTGTATGAGCTCCAGCAAGTTGCAGCTGCTGGCGCTTACTTAAAAAGAGTTGAATTCTGAATATGCACAACGAGATTCTCTTTAGGCAGGAAATTACCGTTATCCCTGAAAAGTTGCCTTGAAAATGAGACACCGGATGTCAACCGTGAAAAGTTCAAAGAATAGAAACAGTAAATCCATACCTTAATTGGAATGGTAACCTGTTTGACAACAATATCGTCACTGCTACACCACATCAAGAACGACAATACCACGGAGACCAGAAGCACGGCTCTAATCGATTTATACTAGGCACAGTTAAATCGGAACGTAATCGACAGCTAGCAATGGCTAATGCCGTTTGGACTCCAGCAACTTCGGCACCGAGCTCATTTTTAAATTGCCTAAGTTACCAAATCCGCTAAAAACTTGTATGTAGGGGTAGTTTAACATCCTGATTACGAATATGACATTCACTCTTGCCGCTGGCGCTAATGGATGACACTACGATTACCTGCGCTCCGCTAAGGCTGAGCCCAAGAGGTAATCGTAGTGTCATCCCTTGGCGCCAGCGCCAAGAATGAGTGTCATAATTGTAATCAGGATGGTAAATAACCCTTGTGTACATATTTTCAGCGGGTTTGGCGACTTAGGTAATTTAAAAATGAGCTCGGTGCCGAAGTTGCTGGAGTCCAAACGGCATTAGCCGCAATGAATCGAAGAGCACAGTTCGCAATAACTCACTTTATTTGACATCGTCGATCAAACACAAAAGAGCTGATTAAAGGAATTTTCCGTATTCTTCGCACTGCAAAGTTAGCAGTAGGTGTAGCCTGAAAAAAGGAAACGATGAAAAGGAAAAAAAGAAGAGCGAAAAGATGGTCACGTCATGAGAAAGCAAAGCTTGAACCAAAAACTTACTGACATTTAATAGACGCATAACAGAATTGACAATAAAACAACCAACAACAAGTCCCAGCAAGTTGATCCAAGTCCCAGAAAGGAAAGCACAAACATCAAAGAGTTGGTCCTGCAAAAAGGAGAAGTTCAAAGGATCAAAATCAGCAGCTGCTGCAGAAATAAATACTTTGAAATCATAAAACACTCTTGCTTCGATAGAAAGTGGCCCCAAAGGCCCTTATGACGGGAGACATAGCATTCCTCGATTATGCGATCTACTGAGAGAAGAAGATAGAAAAGAGCTTGAAGACTTACTTGGACCTCTTCCGAAGCAAAATACAGGAAATACATCATCTGTGATGCAACCATAAAGCAAACCAAACCGGCGGAAGCATATGTGCGAGTTTTCTGAAACTTCAAGAGAGCGTCAAGTGGATCTGATAAAAGTCACAAATCTAATAGCAAGAGTATTGCCTCCTTGGCTCAAGATAAATTAAATTATAATATAGATTAATTTAGGGTTCTTTCCATTCCACGTTTACATGAATATTATTCCAAGGATGAAAGGAAATTGGGTGCTGCAGCAGTACGAGAAAGCCGCCGTAGTGAATTTCGAGTTATGCCTATTTAGGGTTCTTTCCATTCCACGTTTACAGTATGCTAGCGGACTCGTCTAATGAACAGAACCCTAATTTTATGAAAGAAGTCCTACTAATCTTGACGTGATTTGAAACACATCCAAATACCTATTACTATTCAAAAGGTTCCACGCAGAGCTAAGTCTAAGCAGTGTTCTTTCCATACATCACACATTCATATGAACAGAATATGATAAATTTAAAATTGCACTTACCGTTAAGAATTGATTGTTCAATTTATTACAGTCTTTGCTCTCAAAGTAAACCATCAGTTGGCTGTACAAGAAGAAATCGCACAGAAGCATAAAACACTCCAGCTTCAAAGTTGCCACAAAACGTCGTCTTTCCCACTTCATACCCATTCCCATCATTTACCTGGAAACTAGTACAGTCAATACAGCATGAAAAGTTGTGCAATAGAAAATGAAAAGTGAAATTAGGAGCAGAGTAGGTAACGAAGCGGAATGGATTGAGAGACGCAGTTCGACGACGGGGGGCATTTTGCACTTTCACTGCTTCACTACTTCCGGTTTACAAGTCTCACTCTGGTGAAACTTGTGAACTCTTGTGAAGCTGGAGCAAGCTCGTCTAGCCACCATGGTAAAACGTGTCAACTCAAGAAAGGCTATCTAGATGGGTCGACACATCGATGGGAAGCAAAATGCCCCTCGTCGCCGAACTGCGCCGGATTGAGATGATCCATATGACAGCTACGAGTACTCAAAAAACTAAAGCTCAAATTGAGAGGTCATACTCGAAAAGAAACACTGCTTGATTTGTCTAAATTAAAACGCCTTCCCCTAACTGACTGTGTTTCATGGATAAAAGAAATGTCCAGAATGACAGCAACGGGCCATATGGGAGACCTCGGTTTCAGAGGTTTCAAGGCTTGGCTATTTTGTCAGCACCCTTTACATTCGGTGTCTAGGTAATTTAATGGTGTTCGTGACGGGATAACCTTGACTAGAACTGCTACCATTACATTAGGTGCACGGTGAAATAAACAGACTGAGGGCGCGTTTCATACCCCACGATGCAATCCGCCCTGGTTCGCGTGATGGGGTCGGCGGGCGTTAGATGACGCCCATCGGAACTCGCGTAAAATGGACGCGCTCGTGAGGAGGGCTGAAACTACTGTTCGAACACATGCGAAATGTGTAACTGACCCACCACAGCGGAAAGTGTCCGTTTTTTTGTGAAAATAACCACTGCTTCAACCTTAACAACTCACCCAGTTAGCACACAGCATTTTCAACGAAAACAAACCGAGAATAGCCACAATGATAATAGAATTTCTAGTCGAGAAGATTCCATTACTGCTACTTAACATTACCAACAAAAAAGATACTCTGAAAGACCAATTGTACAGCGCTACGTAGGTTAAGGAGGGGGAGCACTCGGCAGCACTTCTTTATCCTTATCTCGAACCAATGCTTTTACTCAGGGGAGAAATGTCGTCTTTACAAGATTATATCGGCGACTCTGCTCTAGTCTCGGAGCTGAGCTATGACTCAAATTCGGTTTAAGAAAAAGCGCGCCTCTAGGAGGAGTCCAGACGCACAGCCGAGTGGTTAGCTTCAACCCCCTCCCATGCACTGTCGCTAGTGAGTCTGAGTTAAAGCACATGGATAAACAAAGTTGATCCATTGCCATCAAGTAGCCTTGAGATCGACGAAGAGAACGTTATATTGATTTCATAGAAATAAAAAAATAGAAAAATGGCATTCTTCTGGGTTTTAACCTATTGCACTAATCATTGGGCAATACCATGCGAAGTTAGCAATCAGTATCAAGATAACTGCAAAACGCAAAAATCAGTATACGAGTAAAGCGTTTCAATACTTCGTTTCAGCGCTCTGGGCGTACGCCCGCGAACCCTTAGATGCTGATACCTTTACTATCTAAGGTAGTCGAAACGCTGCCGTATGCTCAAAACGCTGACGCAAAGTAGGAACGCACCCTAAGATTGCCAAAATATAAGCTATAGAGGTCATGTATCACAAAACCGAATAAAACCCATCACAGATGAAAGCTAGACATCGAAAAAGACCGAAAGAAAAGACATTCGATAACATCTTCTGAACCTCTGAAAGCTCAACAGCCCACGTTCACTCCTTCACCAGGTGAACTACCCATATCTCCGACATCCACAGCATTTTCATTGGAGCTCCCTGAATCGTATCAACTTCGTTTGTACAGCGATTCACTGGGAAGACGGACAAGACAATCGTGCTTCGCCGCAGTGTCGCGCGCACCGCACCGTGCGGCAGCAAGGCAACTTCTCTATGTGCATCTATTGATCGACTGGAGCAGCGAAACTCAAGTGAATTCACGAACCCAGGCTGGCCTTCATGCCGAGTGATGTCGACCTTGCCCGTCTTTTTGAAAATCAAATTCGAACGGCGATGCGGGGTAACTCGTCTCTCGCGCTGCATATTACAATTGTCTTGTCACACACCCGGTTAAATGCACGCCAGTACACACCTGATAAAGAGTGCCTGCGGAGACAAACAAGCTTCCCATGGCCAATGTCGTACAGACCATGAAAATAGGGCAATATCCACGGGATTATTGGTAAAAGGACATAGTATTGTCCTGCATGGGTATGGCCTAAAAATTGAATGTCAAATTGTAAGCCATTTAACTAAGCTCCAACAAGTCAAATTAGCAGTGCTAAGCGGAATGAAATGGAGTTCTGCTCACCCCTTGTAAAACATTTACCAGAAACGTAAATATACGAATTAAGTAATACCAACCTGACAAAACCACGTCGACTTTCTCCAAATCCTCAGAAGAGAAGCTTTTTACGCTAGCTGGATTGTGAGACAAGACAATTCGTGAAGAACCTTCGCTACAATTTTTCATAGCTTCCGTAAGATTCATGCTATGGTTGGGTATTCTGGAAATAAATGTGTAAGGCAAGACTCAGCAATCAACATCAAGTACACTCCTTATCCCTTAGCCAGAGTAGGCGTGGCATTTGAACATGGGTTACCGTGAAATACGTCAGTCTGGAACAGCTATCATCTTGTTTTGTTCAACAGAGACAGACCTTAGTTGTGTCAAGATGAAAATATCTCACCAGAAGCACAGGCACTTCAGGTTCAGTTGAAGCACGCAGCCACGCCTACCCGATCTCAGGGATTTCGAGTATAACTGGCGCACTGCAGCTTAGAAGGGAGAGGCATTTTACGCTTTCGCTACTTTCCATCAACGTGCTCATTGCTTTACAAGTCGACAAAAATGTACTTTCAGGTTTGTAGATCGGTTTGTAGATGTGGAAGGAAATGAAAGGAACAGACCCTGATTTTCCACTTGAAACGTCATTGACACCCACAATACAAATACCATGGAACATATCGCACCTGGAAAAATAGACATAA